GTGAAACGCAAACTTAGATTTCAACATTGTACACTGTGAATGCTGTGATAGAATCAGTACGGTCGCTGTGAAACAAAAACTTAATTTCTGCAATGTACATTATGGACAATTGCACGTGCACAAACAAGTTTGCAAACATGAAAACAGGGAGTTTTGTGAGACGATCTGCACAGAACTAAAACTGTTTGCCTTAAGCATGCTTTTGCGAGTTATATTTGGGTTGCTTATTTAGCTCGTGTCCCCCTTTTGCAGTGGTGTGCGAAGCTGCTGTTTTGGTATTGCCAACATGATATTGGTAAAACCATGTCAGATTTTATGTAATTTAACAAGTCTATTCCTTCCAGGTTGCCCTTTGGTTTTGATCAGGCTCTTACAATCATTATCTCAACTATTTTTCTTAGGTTAAACGAATGAGAGAAATGCTGTTTGATTCCATCCTTTCTCAGGTAACAACAGAAGGGGAAAACATTGTTGCCTGAAGTACTAGTGCAAATAGTACCTTTACTTTGAATTGCTGCAAATTTTCTTAATTCCATTGTATATTGTGCCAGGATATTGCTTTTTTCGATGAAGAAACTGTCGGAGATTTGACAAGTAGGCTTGGTTCTGACTGCCAGCAAGTGTCTAGAGTTATTGGCAATGATCTTAATCTGATTTCACGCAATTTGCTTCAGGTGAAAAGGTTGTTTAGTATCTGAGTATACAATACTCACCAGTAGCTTGAAAAGCTCATTTTTTATGTTGTTACTTTGTCTCAGGGTATAGGAGCACTGATTTATCTTCTAATCTTATCATGGCCTCTTGGATTGTGCACTATGCTTACTTGTGGGACATTGTCGACAATTATGCTAGTTCATGGACGGTAACAACTTGTTTTCACTTCTTGTGTAGTTTATTTCTCCCTTTTCTCTACTTGCTCCTTTCCCTATTATGTTGCTAGTGCGCAGCAATCTTGAGTAAATGCGACAAAATACCTCTCCCATGTTTCCTCATTTTGTTGCTTTGCATCTTTGGCCATGTGAAAGAAATCATCATGACACCTTTGTTTTATAGGTATCAGAAAAAGGCCTCTAAATTTGCACAAGAGTTCACTGCAAGTGCCAATAATGTAAGTTTATGTCCTTTAATTTTCTAAGTCTATTTGAGAAGGTTGCTCAAATATTTCAGCGATTCACCTAATGTTTATGTTATAAATCAAATCAGGTTGCTCAAGAAGCGATAAGTTTGGTTAGAACAGTGCGAGTGTATGGGACGGAAAAGCAAGAGTTTAAAAGGCAATCAGTCTACCTATTTGTCTCTCTTATATAGCATAAAGATAACATATGCACGTCATAAAGACTGTTGTACTTTCATAGGTATGCGAAGTGGCTGGATAAGCTGTATGATGTGAGCTTTCGACAGACGATGGCTTATGGAGGCTGGAGCTTGAGCTTGAATTATCTGTACCATTCTACTCAGGTATTTGATGTTGCTGTTCAGTTTTGTTAATATCTATATTAAAAATATAAGGCTTTTGTGTATGCTTCTCATTGCGCTACTGATGAAGTATTCTTCCAAATAAGCTTTGTGTAGGTTGTTGCTGTTTTGATTGGAGGAATAGCAATCATGAATGGGAAGTTCACTGCCGAGCAACTGACAAAATTCACACTGTACGCCGAGTGGCTGATTTTGTCTACCTGGTGGATTGGAGACAATTGGTCCTCCCTGATGCAGTCTGTTGGAGCAAGTGAAAAAGTCTTCCGGTTGATGGATCTCTTGCCTAGCAGGCAGCTTACCTCTAAAGGCAAGACTGTTTTTAACTTGACACCTTAGTTTTGAGTCTCTGTGCTTGGATATTTTAATTGGGAGGATGTGCAACTGTTCGGTAGTCTAAAGCATTTCATTCTTGCAGGCCTCAGGTTACAGAAGCTGGAAGGACGAATTCAATATGCAGATGTAGAATTTTCATATCCTTCAAGACCTTCAGTATGTTAACGCCTTCCTTCTAGATGCTTTTCTGTTATGATTTATGAGCACACACATAGTAGAGTTCATCGTAAAGCTTGAGTGCTTTGTGATTATTATGAACTAAGTGCGGGTTTTGGGTTCTGATGTGGCCCTTAATGCGCAGGCACCAATTTTGAGAAGACTGAATCTAACACTCAATCCAAATGAAGTAGTTGCAATTGTAAGATATACAGGCTGATGCTTTCATATATATGAATTTTCGCAAGTATTGATCTGTATCTAAATGTTCATATATGGTTTCTAATTTTAAAGGTTGGTCTTAGTGGAAGTGGCAAGAGTACTATAGTTAACCTACTACTTCAGCTATATGAACCTACAAATGGGCAAGTAAGCTATTTCGACCTTGCTATTGCTTCTGTCCCTTCCAGGAGCCAGTATTGCTGCTATGACACGTTGAACTTGAAACAGACTAGTTATTGGTCTGAACTCTGAAGTTATATTTGTGACTGATGCAGATATTAATAGATGGTGTCCCACTCAGCGAACTTGACACCAGATGGTTCAGGGAAAGAATTGGTTTTGTGGGACAGGTTCGGATCCAATAAACCCAGCAAAGTCGTCGTGCCAGATGAATCTTTGTTGTATTTAACAGCATATATACTTGTTATATGCAGGAGCCTAAGCTATTCCGGATGGATGTTAGTTCTAATATTAAGTATGGCTGCCCAAGAGAAGTTAGCCAGGAAGAAGTTGAGTGGGCTGCAAAACAGGCTTATGCTCACGATTTCTTAATGGCTCTTCCTGATGGTTATAACACCATTGTCGACGATGCTCTTCTTAGTGGAGGCCAAAAGCAACGCGTCGCCATTGCAAGGGCCCTTCTGAGGGACCCAGCCATCTTAGTACTCGACGAAGCCACTAGTGCACTTGATGCTGAGAGTGAACATTATGTGAAGGTAAACTCTTAGTGAACAAATTCAGTGCAATTAAAATGTACTGTACTACTTATGAGTAGATTGTTAATTTTCTCTCTGCCATGTTATAGAGTGTCATCACAGAAGTTAGCACTGATCCTAAGGCTCGAAGAACCGTGATTATCATAGCTCACAGGTAGGGTATGCTTACTCTGGTGCCTGTTTATTTTGAACACGAAGAGTCGAGCTAACACCATTATTTGTTCTAGGTTGTCTACGATTCAAGCGGCTGACAGAATCATTGTGATGGAAAATGGCAGTATTGTGGAGGTATGTTCTCAACTGCTGTTGCAAAGTATTAACATGAAGTCTACACTAAAATTAGCATGAGAACACTTCTTTCAATACTTGCAGTGTTGTGTACAAACATGGTCTAAGTTGTTCTGTATGGTTGTGCAGGACGGAAAGCACAGCGACCTTGTCAAGCAGAATGGATTGTATTCAAGATTAGCGCAGCGACAAAATGATGCTCTCCCGTAGCCTGAAATCACACAAGGTGGTTTAGTCCACGCAGTATTTTTTTCCAAGTGGAGCAGCAGGTGAGGGAGGCGTCTGTCATCGGTGTATTCTTTACGAGTGACCACGGCCTGGTTGGTCAAATAATTGAGGTTTCCTCAAAGTACCGGGTGCAAATGATCCACAGATGCCAACTAACCAAGCTAAGTTAAAACAGTTTCTGCCGCAAAAAGGATAAGAAGTTAGGCAGTATCCGGACGGATGTATATGGTGGTTTAAGGAAATTGAGTAGTTCATACATGATTCATTTAGTTACACAATGTCAGATGCAACCTGTAACTATATATAAATATATATAGGCATCTGGACCTCAGACCATCGGAATCTTGTAATTAACTGTTGTGAACATTTACTTGAATTTTGATAGAAACTTGTATATTCAAAGTACTAAGATCTATGTGATATTAAAGATAGGATTCCTCTGCTTTGTTACAGTTGTTAGCTCGCAAGTGTAGGGCAGCCGTGTTGGTCCTGAAAATGCATTCAAAGCGCTGTTGGGTTTGTCCCTGAAAATGCATTTAAAGTGCTCTTAGGTTCGTGCTAAAATGCAGCCAATGCACTTGAACTATCTTATGGCGTGTTTGATTTGGGAACGAAGTGGAATGGAATGTAAGGATTGGTTTTGTTCCCTATGTTTGTTTGAATAATTAGGTGGCATGTAATGGTTGCAATTCAGTGTTTGGTTGGGGAGTTGAAATGGAATGAATTTGGTTTCGTGAGTTTGCAAGTCAAAAGGCATAACACAAGTTAACCTTTCCAGTAAGATCTGGTCTTATTAATTCTATTATATGTTTAAAAATTCCAGCCTATTTAGTAAACAGCAATGCATGTCTTCTCTAGTACCAGGATTCTTGGCACCCACGACAATATGATACCCTTATGTCCTTCAAAACTCAAGTTGCGCAAGAAAAACTCGGTCGGGTCTCAAGCAAAAAGCGTTTGCAAAACCCAGGCAAATGTGACTGCCCGAAAATTGATGATACAATTGTTAGCTTGCATGTGTAGGGTGGCCATGTTGGTCCTGAAAATGGATTTAAACCGCTCTTCGGTTTGTACTAAAATGAAGCCGGCAGTTGCTTGGGTGTGTATGGCTTGGGAACAAAGTAGAATGAAATGTCAGGATTGGTTCTGCCCCAGTGTTTGCTTGAGCTAATTAGATGGAATGTAATGGTTACAAGTCGTTGGGGAGTTCAAATGGAATGAATTTTGTTTTGTGAGTTTGTAAATCAAAAGGCATAACACGAGTTAACCTTTCGAGTAAGAATATGATATTATTAGTTCTATGTTTAAAAATCCAGCCTATTTGGTAAAAATCAGTGCGTCATACATGAAGGTGAGGTCCTACCACTTCAGTAAACATCGGTGCACAAAACATGAAGGAGAGGTCCTACCACTTCTCTAGTACCAGGATTCTTGGCACCCACTACAAAATGACACCCAGTTGTCCCTCAAAACTCAAGTTGCGCAAGAACTCGGTCAGGATCTCAAGCAAAAGCATTTGCAGAACCCAAGCAACTGCGGCCGCCCGAAAATTGATGATCACACATTCTTCCCATCTTCCCATCAAGCAGTCTTCTGTTTTGCCGCCGTGTTGGAAAGATGAGATAGGGTCCTATGGCCGACGAACACAAGGAACACACCGAGGAAGCTGAGGTACTTCAGAGTTGTGAAAAGATCCAGCTGTTCCAACAGAAGAATGATAGTGAGTAAACCTTTATTGGTGCAATTCTGTTTCACCACAAGGAAGATGCTAACCTTAACCCAGAAGAGAACATAGAGCAACAGTACTGCTGCGATTCCGACATGGAAGAGTGATGCGAATGCAGCAGGTCCTGGCAGGGAAGGGAAGTTCTTCAAGTTGACTCCCAGACGCATAAGCTACAAGTAAATGCCAGAAGCACATTATCAGCATCAATATGTTGAATAAGCATATTCTCAACAACATTTTTTATTTAGAGTAGCATACTCTCAGCAACTTTTTTGATTTAGAGAAAGCAGTACAGAAGTGTGATAGCAATTGAAGAAATAAAGCAAGAGTAGGAATTGTTGACTCACCCCAATCAAGAACCCAATGAAAGGCAGGAGTATGAGGCCAGTAAATGCAAGCGACACTTCCTGCGGTGGCCTCTTCTCTGGCACACGGAATATGTGTTCTATCTCCTTCTGTGGCCTAAACTTTGCTAAGGGGTCAACAGCTTGTGCCGGAGGACGTGGGGCCTTTTCAGGGGCCTCCGGCAAGTCCAACTCCAGTTGGCCAAGGACTCGTAGGAACGAATTTTCCTGAAGCAGACAAAGAATAATCAGCAAGGCTAAACCAAACATAACTGTAGAGTTATAAATGTGGCGACATACCATTGAAGCATCACCAACTGAAAGCTCGAGGTCATATGTTCCAGAAAGGTAGTAAAATTTCTCTACCAATCCAAGAAAATCCTACAATATATTGAATAAGCATATAAGAAATCATGTTATGGTTCTTCTGGAACCCTCAAGAGCTGAAGGCAAACATGCAAATTAAGATATGTCAAGTGATCTTCTGGTACTTCATCTCCACATCTGACCACAGTAACATCATAAAATTCAAGCACAACAGGAAGATGCATCCACCATCCCCATCATCCTTGTTGGACAAAATTTAATAGGTTCATTTCAAATGTTTTGGCACCTGGATAATCTTGTTCAAACCTCACTTGGTCATAAAAATGCCAACAAGTTTCCTTCCTAGAGTTTCTTAAAGCTTCCTACAAAAGGTTGTTTGATTTGTAGGAATAGAAAGGCCACTTTGTACTCAATTTCAAATGAAATTTTCCATCACGTGTAACCTCTTGAAAAAAATGTCTATGGTCCATGAGTTCTTATGCTTTCCCTATAATGTAGTCTAACACACTTTGGTGTCAATTCCTAAGGTGTCCAGCATCGAAGGATATTCTAGGGACCTGCCACTAGAATCCTGCGTTTTTCAGAATCATGTGAAATCAAAGAAATCCTGAAAACAAGTTACATAACCTAGCTAGTACCTTCTATGTCAAAAGCCTCTGTCGGAGTACGTGTTTTCTGGATAATATAATGTACAACCTAAAACCTAATGGAAACATTTGCCGAGAGAATGACAAGAGCAAAACAAACTCTGAGTAGGTTACTCAACTAGAACAATTTTGAATTGCCTCGCAGAACCTGGCACCACAAATAAGTGTTCAACCTTGCTTTCATGCTTTAACTTCAAGAAAACCTGGCAACAAATTCGCTAAATCAAGTCAGGAAAAGAACTAGTACTGTGCCATTTGAGAAAGAAAATGGAGTGTTATTGTGACCTGGTGGGGTTTAAATGTGCGTCCAAGTGGTGTAGATAGTTGAAAAGATAGACGTAACTTCTGCAGATGGTTGGCAGAGAGAGAAACTTTTGTATCTTTCAGCAGATCTAACCTGTAATGAATCGGATTTGAAATGAGACATGCAAAATAAGCTGTTTTGCTATGAAATTAGAACCTAAACTTCCATTCCAATTTTCACATACTAACAGGTTAGGAAGTGTTATTCGTTATTCCAGATGAGAATGAACTAATTTAAAGTGATCAAGGATATCGAGGTTGCAATTACTTGGGTGTTGTTGTCAGAGTTAGTTTATCTATTAAATGTTGCTGTAAAACATGTTTTTCTAATGGCATGGAATCAAGTGGTTCGAAGAGTTTACTTTTCGACAGACTCCGCGCTCCCAGCATCATTATCAGAAATTCCAATTTCTGCCTTGTCAACTTTGATCAGTCCTGTAACGACGACAGACTCAGTGTTTCTCCCTCCAGTAGTGTAAACGGTTTCATGTTCTGAATCCTGAAGAGTAATCTTGAAGATCGAAGGGCAAAAACATCAGTAATGTAAAGTAATATTAGTCTATTACAATATGTGTATATATCAAGCAAATTAATAAAGTTCACAGGTACCTCAAAAACTAGCAAGTACTTCCCAACATCTATTTTCAATGGAGTAATGTCCAAGTAATGAACATTGTTGTCGAGGTCAAACTGAAGTTCCTGATACCAGAAGGAAATGGATGTTAGGGAATTGTAGCTAAAACATGGACAAAACGATGGTGAACTATTATAATGAAAAAATAAGTTCCAAGAGGTATACACCAATCTTAACTCTGTACCTTGCTGTCAGTGGTGATGACCTTGGAATCAGAGCCCAAGACTTGCACAAGATTCACTCTGAGCGGAGGTGCCGCAGAACCAAACACTGTAGTTACTTCAACCTGAAAATAATATATATCAAGGGAACACGAGTTGGAGTTAATTACACTGAGCTAAACATAACATGCATCAAAACTCAAAAGCAATACAGAGCAAGATTGCAGCTAAATGTGGTACAATTTTCACACACACACCATATACTCCCTCCGTCTGGAAATACTTGTCGAAGAAATGCATAAAAATGGATGTATCTAGAATTAAAATACGTCTAGATACATCCATTCCTCCGACAAGTATTTCCGGACGGAGGGAGTACATCTTTTTAGCAGACACCATTGTTATTAAATTGCAACTACAAAAGTACCACATAGGATGCATAAAGGTTAGACATTATAGCATGCTTGTATCAAAACAAGATAAATTCAAGTCTACAACATTTAATGAATACAGAAAGTGCTTGCAAGAGATAGAATTGCTCACAGTAACAATCATTAGTGCAATATCGATATGCCTAATACTATTTTACACTACAATGCAGAATAATATAATGGACAAACAAGGAATATTATCATTATATTTCAGACAAAATCAAAGAGACTAGAATGTGATGATCACCTTAAGCTGGTCTTTGGAGGTCAGTGACAGTACTTTGGAAGGAAGTGAAAGGATCAAAGGAACAAAGATCCTGCATATTGTAGAAACGAAATAAGCATCACAGGGCAAGAGACTAATAATAATGTGGGGCGCAAGTTTATCGAGAATGCTAGAAAAGAGAGGAAAACTTACCTATTGTTTTCCAGGAGCGACAAGGACTCAATCTGATTAAAGCAATCCTTTGCACTACCTGGGAGCCCAATACCAAGAAAGAACTTTGCCAAGCCCAGTATTTTCTCACCAGGGATCTGTTGGTTGAGTGGTGTTGGTTATGAGAGGTGCTTAACATAAATTTAATGAAAAAACACGAAAATGAAATGAAATAACCTACGTTCAATTTCCCAGAAACAACATTAGCGAAGGAGGTGACACCGCGTACTACTGAAGCAGAAGTTGTTATAGGGCCCTTGTATTCAGAACCATCAACATACTTCTCATCAAAATAGAAGGTTCCATCATCTGAGAAAACGCATATCATAAGAAGCAATCAACAGTAAGAGGAACATTTTCACTTGCAAGTGGTTTGTTCATATCGTAATGGAGAAGTATCAAAGCACACCAACTAAATAGTACTGCTAACTATCCAAACATGCGACTCAGTATGCCATAGATTTAGCAATTTGGTAACTAAGTTCCTATGAGGTGTTAACCAGGCACCTTGACTCCTGGAGAACTCTGGTCGAGTTTAAGTTGATAAAATAGGAAAAATGCCTGGTCTACCAGAGCTTGTCTTGAAAGCAATTTAATCAAATGTTCATCTTCAGTGAGCACAAAGAAGACGGTTAGAGAACATACCATAGCTCTTGATTGTGCCAAATAGCTTCACGATGTCATTTTTAACGACTCCTATCTGATGGCACAATATTAAAAATCAGGACCGCCAATAGTGGCAAACTTCAAATGATATACTAATAAAAAATGACACGCATAACAAATTCAGAACAAACACATTTGACTGAAACTTGGAAGAAGCATTCGGTAACAAATTGTATGGAAAGCAGAACATCGTACACATACAAGAGAATGATATGGTAACACCTAGTTGATTTGAGATTGTTATAAACCAAAGGGCATGGCACATACAGAGACATGGCTGCAACTCTTTTAGGATGATAGATCATGTCATGTGCATTTGTAATTTAGATGAATGGAGGTTTTGTGAGATGTAATTAGAATGATATAAGCTGAGGGATAAACAACTTGTTATATATCAGTTTCTCTTTTGTATTGAAATCAAGTTCTTCCTGTTTTCGATACTTCATAACATATACTAGTATTTAAGTGTATATTCACCCATACGTCTTTATTACTTGCGTATAGGAAGATAACAACGTAACAAGAATTGCTTGTGTATAAGGTTTTCACTGGCATTCAGTTCAACCCTCTCCCCATTAGAAGGCTTTGTGACACAACATGTACTATATAGTTATCCGACTTCTTCATCTCTTACATTCAAGGAAGATAATCACATATAAATGTACAACAAGTTAATGAAGTAATTCGAGTACAAGCAGAGAGCAATACACACCATAGACGGATCAACCTCCGCATCAGACAGTGAAACAACTCCTGCCAATGCTTCTAGTGCTATACCTGTTACAGAACAGTGTTTCCAAACATCAGTGCCTGATACATTTGATTTGCGGCAAAAAACAGAAAAGGTCGCAAGACAGAAAAATATTACCAGCAGCAAATGTGCTGGATTCAGCACTGTTGGTGTCATAGCGCCATCTTCCATCACTTTGGCTAAGTGCCTATAGAAACAAAGATATATATCAGACAACTCTAGTTTAAACAGCAGAGCAAAATTGTGATTGCGAGAACTACACAAGGAAGCATAGCATATTGCACTGCTCTAACCTTAATTGCGTGAAATGTGCTATCCGCATCAGATAAAACAACACTGTGGCCTTGTTCCTGCCAAAAAATCAACACAACTTTATCAGCTACCAGATAAAACTCAGACAATCAACCAACAGCAGTGCTGAAAAAAATAAAAATATATAAACATGGAGCAGAAAGTGCATTAGAAGGAGTGACCTTCAGGCTGAGCAGCCCTCTGACAGAATAGTAGAACTCCAGCAGCGAATTGGTGTCCTTGATCACAGCCTTAAGCCTCGACGCGACGTCCTGCCACGAAGAACGAATCTCAGAACAGCATCAAGCAAGCGAATACCAGCAGAAGCAGCAAGATCTCCAGAGCTAAAACCCACATCGTAAACGCCGGCATCGACGCTGCATCCGAGAACGCCAGCGATCTGGACCGCGTGGAACAGATCCTTGGCGGGCGACGAGGACGAGGACAGCGTATGGGCGGCGAGCTTGCAGGCCTTGCCATCAAGGCCCTTGTCCCTCTGCACCCCGAGTATCTTGAACGTCCTGACCGCCTCGTACGTCGTCTCCAAGCTGCACAGCGCGCAACAGACAAAGCCAGCACTTAGAACGCGGTCATGGCCCGAGATTTCAAGGGGGCAGTCCCGAGTCGGATCGATCTAGGCCGGACTAGGTCCTTAATTGCGCCCGCGAGGGGCGAAAGCTGGAGATCAGGGGAGACGGTGACGCTGGCGAGCAACTACGGGACTTACTCGTCGGGGGAGGCGGCGAAGAGCTCGGCGGCGACGGATCTGTGCGCGTCGGAGACCGGGCGAACGGCGGAGGAGAGGGGGGCGACGGCCACGGCGACGAGGAGTAGGAGGACG